CCTGTCCAGGTCCCCATTCCACCATCACCCTCGGCCCCTCCACCCCCACTTCTCTCCACCCCCAGCTTTTCATCCCAGCCAGGCCCCACATCGGCTCCAAAATGGCACCCCCAGAACCGCTGCCTCCAGGTCAAGGTCTGACCCCCCAGGGTCTCTGCATCCTGCCCATCTCTTGCAGCCCCCCCCCTCCACCTTCCAGCGGACACCCCTCATCTCCAGGCCCCACAGGTGCTGTGCCCCTGACTGGGGGTCTCTCCTATCCCCCTGCCCTCCCACTGTACCCAATGCACCCCCGTCCTCCGGCCTCGGCCCTTCCACCCTCAGTCCTGTGTGTGGAAACAGACAGGTGGGAAGAGGAGAGAGATGGGGCTCAGTGGTGGAGATCGACCTATGAACCAGGAGGTCACGGTTCGATTCCCGGTCAGGGCACATGCCCGGGAGTGGATTCCATCCCTAGCGGAGGGCGGGCAGGAGGCAGCCGATCAATGATTCTCTCTCCTCATTGGTGTTTCTATCTCTCTCTCCCTCTCCCTTCCTCTCTGAAATCAATAAAAATATATTTTTTTTAAAAAAAGGGGGACAGAGGAGGGCTGAGCTCAGAGATCATTAGCTACCACCCCCCCTCCCCGTAGATGGGGACCCAGTGCCCAGAGCGGCCCGAGGGCAAGGGGGCTGCAGGAGCAGGACCTTGGGGTGAGGGGGGCGCTTGGTGCCATGGACTTCACGTGGGGACACGGGACAAACGAATCTGCCGGCTGAGGTGACCCGCGAGTCTCTGCCCCGCTCTCCACAGGTGCCCGTGGCCCTGCCCACCTGCCCGGCCTACCTGGGGGGGCTCGTAGGGCACCACGACACTCTGCCTGCCGGTGACAGGGTCTTCCACGTACTGCGAGAGGTTGTTGCCCTCCACGCGGATGAGGTGGCTGGCGGGGGCAGACTGTCCTGCCGGGAGGGGACACGGCCTCAGAGGTGCCCAGCGGGTCTGGCCACCCCGGGCCAGGTGTGTCCCGCACTCAGCCCCTCAAGGCCTGGCCCCGGGCACAGAGCTGGGGCCTCACCCTCGTTGAAATCCCGTCCGAGCTCATGGTTGGGGCAGCGCTTCACGACCTCGGTCACGTGCTCCGCCTTCTTGTAGACGGGCATGGCGCGCACGGTGGTGCCCGGCGGCGGCGGCGAGGACACCTGGATCTGGATGGGGCACGTCTTGGCGATCTGGCAGTACAGCTTCTTCA